TTATCATGTTTTTTGTGCATATAGATATGTGCAGATGATCAAGGTTTCTGCATATCAAAGTTGGGTTAAACATTATAACTTGTGCGATAAGTCCCTGTCCAAGTTATTAAAGCTGGGTCACATACCAGAGAAGAGCGATACAGGCATAGAGGAGATTGATAGCATGATATACCAGCCGCGAGAAGTAAAATTAACTTTTTCGGCGAAGGAGCGAAGCAAACATATTTGTCAATTAGCCTATTTTTTTATATCTATAAGCTGAAAACTGATATTCTATTTATTGAAATAAACTAAGAGTTTATCGGTTCATATCACAGTGTTTACAGCTCGCCGTGATAATATCGGATCAAACTTAACATGGTCGTTACAAAAAATTATGACGTTGTCGATAACTGAGGATTAAACTTGATATCATCGAGTTAATTCTTTTTTCAAAAGAATCGAACATAACGATATCAATTCGTGGAATACAAGAAATGCCTCTCTAAAATATAAAGCTGAACTAAAACTTATACACATGACAACATCTAAGTACTAGTATAAACGTTTGAGTATATGGCAAACCTCTTTGTAATAGTTATCCCATAAGGACGTGGTGTGTCGGTGTAAGATCACCCCGATGGCCGGAGGCCAGAGGGTGATCTTACACTGACACACCAAGTCCGAATGGGATAACTATTTTACATCCCAGCTGTTCTAGATTAGATAAAAACCCATTTACGCTTCATAAAATCTAGTTTAGAACGCCACACAATCATTATAATATACTTTATATATTACTACACTGTATATAGTATATACCCTTTATGAGCCCCGAACACAATGTTTGAATATGTTAAATTAACAGAGAGTTTGTATCCAGTCGTCCTGATGTAGCACTGGTGTTAAACAGATAATCGTAACTGGAATTACGACGATCCCAATATGGCGACGGCAGAAATAGGTAAAATCTTTTCAGTCATTTTTCTCAAATGTAGCCCGTTGTTGTCAAGAGTTACTCAGCTGCAAGGTTTTTCTATACCATTACATCATATTTGAATCGTAACGGTGCACTATAATTGTCTAAGCGCTTCGAAAAATTCGGGATGATAATCGTAATTCGATGGCATTTTTCTTGTTTGATAATCGTAATTTCTTTATGGGATAATAGTAACTGAAAAATAATAAATGTGTCTTCCAGCTTGTCAATGGTATTTTGTGTGTAAAAACGGCAATGTCCAGTTAAACGATGACATTAACGCGCAAAATAAAAAATAATGAAGCAACTTACAGGTTAATATTTAGGACAAATTTACTTACATGTATATATATCTCGATTTATAACTGACAACAATATGCATAACCTTTTAATATATACATGTACCTGTTAAAGATATGGAAATTGAAGCAGCTGTCGAGACAGTTATTGTGGTAAGTCCCGTATACCACATTTCAATATGCCATATGTTTTGCCTCAAATATTGCATATATCCAATCGACTTTTAAAACAATAAAAAGGGCAAGTTAACCTTCCCTATCTCAATATTCCCTATACCACGGGGGTGGCTGTGGGTTACTTCCTATATAAATATATAAGTAGTTACATGGATCAGATTTTTGGTCTTCGGCAATATGTGAAAGGGGATATTTTTTTTTAATTTCAGCAGCACGCCAGAAGTGACACCACCCCTTCCCCCGTGCCTTATACAGACCTCATTTATCATAAGATCGCTTTCAGTTTTGAGTTCCCTGTTGTTTATATTCGGGGATGGGTCCACAAATTATGTAAAAGGGAAATAGGGGGGTGGGTGCTATAAACTGAACGTTTATACTAAATTTCTGAGAGAAATTAACAAAATTTTCCATCAGTAATTAACTGCATTATTGGATTTAACAGTTGATACTTTGATTGGTTGATATAAGTTTTCATTTTGCCCTTTTCCTTATATTTCAATAGAAATAGATATAGTTTAATTTTGGAGTGAAATGTATCCCGGTTAAAATAGCCGTTCACATTTTTCAGGTGAATTCACTTTTGTTCTGTTTTACACTGATATCTTATATGATTTTAAAAATTAAATTCAAATACCCATGTATTTTAGGACGTTTCTTTAAACAGGGTGGATGGTAAAGGATCTAGAATAGTTACCAGTTTATTGTTACATGTGTTTATTGTTCCATGTGTTTATTGTTCCTTGTGTGTATTGTTACTTATGTTTATTGTTACTTGTGTTTATTGTTCCATGTGTTTATTGTTCCTTGTGTTTATTGTTACTTGTGTTAATTGTTCCTTGTGTTTTTTGTTCCATGTGTTTATTGTTCCATGTGTTTATTGTTCCTTGTGTTTATTGTTCCATGTGTTAATTGTTACTTGTGTTTATTGTTACTTGTGTTAATTGTGTTTATTGTTACTTGTGTTTATTGTTCCATGTGTTTATTGTTCCTTGTGTTTATTGTTACTTGTGTTGATTGTTCCTTGTGTTTATTGTTCCTTGTGTTTATTGTTACTTGTGTTTATTGTTCCATGTGTTTATTGTTACTTGTGTTTATTGTTCCATGTGTTTATTATTCCTTGAGTTTATTGTTACTTGTGTCTATTGTTACTTATGTTTATTGTTTTTATTAGCCTTAACTAAATGGCGCGTTTAGTCTTGCGAAGCATTTGAAGGACTGAAAAAAAACCACAAATATATATTATATATATATGTGTATTGGTCCTCAGAATGCATAATATGTAGATAGTACGGTCGAAACTAGTTTAATTACAAAGACTTTAATAGATAATCAAACAAATATGTTGTGCTTCAGAAAAATGCATGGCAATTATGAAAAGCTAATTTTTGTTTTCATTTGATAGAAAAGTACTAAGTATATGATAATTATGCAAGTACAAAAATGTTCTTTGTTACCTTCAATATTTTTTCTCTACAATATCTTCCATGCATATGTATGCAGCATATTTTTCATATACCAAGTATTTATGATTTCTTGAATCAGTTTGTTTCTGATATGGCGGAATATGCGCTATGATTTCTTAAAGTTGCAGTCATTCTTCGAATAAATATTGCGTGTAAGGTAATTCAAGGCCACATCAATTTGATTTCTTGATCTTCGGGCTTTTGGCCAAATTATTAAAGAACACAAATCCATGTTTGCCAATGAACTCCACGTCACCATGTGCTTAACTCCATAACACACAAAGCATTCCAACTTTTTCTCTACTCTTATATTATCATTAAACGTTTTAAGGATGTCATATTATTAGAATGCCAAACTAAATTGGTGTTGTTAAAATTTATAGTTATTTTCTGAGATATCGAAATGTCAGTGACAGTCATGAAGTAGCTAAGCATTTTTATAGTATTTAGGAGCTATACAACTTTTCACACATTCAAAAAGGTGTGACATTTGTTTTCAAGTCCGTATTTAAATAGAATACCAAACAATATTTCTTTTTAACTCTAAACCTGAAGAGATCATGATGACATTTTTTTAAATTTTCTCCCATATTTTGTGACGATCCTAGTTCCTGGAGTTTTCAGTATTTTAACATAGTTCGTATTTCCCCATTTACAAATTTATTGAAGCTGATCCCCCTTCCAATTTTATGATATATACTAGTATGTAGCTGTTTACATTAGAATTGTTAATCATATATGCACAAAAAGAAATGTCATAAGATGTGGGAACGTTTTCGTGATTAATTCATCAACATATTTTCATCATATGCTATTAGATAGACGTTTTTCGTGTCAATACCAATCAAACACTATCCAGTTACGATTATCTTCTTATTTATTAATACCGAAATTACGAATATCATTTTTGCGAGTTACGATTATCATCCCAAATTTTTCGACGGCAATTTTCTAAGCGCTTAGACAATTATAGTGCACCGTTACGATTCAAATATGATGTAATGGTATAGAAAAACCTTGCAGCTGAGTAACTCTTGACAACAACGGGCTACATAATCATTTGAGAAAAATGACTGAAAAGATTTTACCTATTTCTGCCGTCGCCATATTGGGATCGTCGTAATTCAAGTTGCGATTATCAGTTTAACACCAGTGATGTAGGGGTATGCCTCGTAGGTCAATATGCTAAAGGTCTTGAGTTCAATTCCCAGCATAGATACTGGATTCTTTTCTACACAAATTTTGATAATAAATCTTTTTCGTATAAATATTTCTAAGTTTTATTGTGGATTTGACATTCCCGCCAAAATGTTACAGAACAAAGGAAATCATTCAGAACAAGCAAACTCAAGCTAGGGTGATCTGGTAGGGGTGATCCGGCTCAGATCACCCCTGGTAGAACAAAGGAGCTGGGATGTAACTCCGGATAATTGAAACATTTGTTATAAAAGATTAACACTTTTAACTACATAATTATCTTTCAATTTACCGAACAGTAAGAATTAGATTTAGTTGTGCCGTCAGCGGGGTTCGATGGCCCTTACATGCCGCTCACATATACGTGTAGTATTTTATGGTCTGAAAAGTTATTACTTGGAAAGTTGAAAATATGTACCCCATAACAATTAGTTGCTTAGAAATTAGTGACACCTTTTGGGCAGAAAACATGGATATTGAAACGTAATTTTATAACATTCCATTTTAGACTTTGAAAGTAAACAGCAGCGTGAAAAAAGATTATACTGTCGGAGAAATAGTCAACCTAGTTTCAGTCGACTGTCAACGATTCAAGATGCTATCACATTTTCACACGAAATGTTATCCTACTTTTCTATACTGACGGTTGGAGTGTATGAGCTCTGGGATGTTATGGGAGCTTCAACATTAGGATGATTGGTTGTGATAGCAATTCTGACTTGTCTAAATGCTTTGTTTGGAAAATTACAAGAGAAATATTTAAGGGACATTTTATACTATAAAGGAAAAAGGTGCAAACTACTAAATGAAATCATATTTGGATAAAGGTAATAGCAATTAATATGAAACAATTCCCCGTACACTTTCCCTGGCCTTGTCGAATTATGCATCTCATTTCAAGCACATTCAAGTAATCCGTCTTTTAATAAACGAGAAGTGAGATAAACTTCTATGAGAAAATTGTGCCAAATAGGCAGGTCTATGTGTAATCAGAATATCAACATTTTCCGGTATCTTATTCCACTTCTGCAGTATTTCTTCTCCACGATTAACTTTGAACGCCCAACTACAATATAGGGGTTGCCTTAAGTATTAAACAAAAATAAATAAATAAATCAATGCAACAAAAAAAGAAAATACAGTGACGTAAAGAAAGGATGAATTGGGAATTTGCAATACCTTAGACGAAAAGATATAAAGCAGTTCGAACAAGCTTATCGATATCTTTTACCTGTTATCATTTACATTGCTGAAAAACAAGTTGAAATAAAATGCTAAATCGTTCAGTCGCAGTTTTAAAATTTGAATTTGTATAAATTCTCCAATTTTATTTATAGTCACTTGTGTTTTTCGTTCATGCAGGTATCTTAGAGTTTTGCTTGAATAAAAAATTTAAGTGTGTTGAAAGGAATCAATGAATAGGAAAGTTTCCTATAACGTGGATATATTATAAATTATTCTTTATATAAACAGCAGCGAACATGGTAAATAAAAGAATTTATAACATTAAACAATTATAATTTTCTAATCAGTGATTATGAGAAAGGTGTCGTCTTAAAAGTTGACGGATTTCTGTAACAAAAGAAGAAGAAACCGAAATTTTTTATATATACATGTAGTAAAATAGGTTAGCATAAAATGATTTTTAGAGAACCGATTACAGCAAATGAGGTTTCTTTAGATCAAAGAATGTTAAATGGACCGAATTAATGTGCACTTTCAGGGTTTTTAATTCATCAGAGTTTTTTAATTTCTTGAATTTTTAACTGGTTTTTAGAGATAATGTCCAGGGGTGCCTAGAATTGACCACCTGATTCCTAAAACATATTAGGCGCAAGCCCAAAAATCGGTAATACTGTAATGACCTCGTTACACATCATATGTCTTCAGGAAACGTCCGATAGAGCAAACAGCACCTACATTATATGATACGTGATACTGTTGAGTATTGTAGATATTTTCTGAGAGTTATAATTTATTTTTTCTGATATGACTGCTTCCACTAAAAGGCGCATATGATGTCATACAACTACCTTTAGCAATCAATTGCATGAAAGACACATTTGATGCCACAAATTTACCGTTATTCATCAACTGCATGAACGACACACCAAATGCCACACAATTAATTTTAGCAATCAACTGCTTAAAAAACATATCGATGCCACACAAATACTTTTAGCCATTTACTGAATGAAAGACACATTTGATGCCACACAGTTACTTTTAGCTATCAGCTGCATGAAAGACAGACATGATGCCACACAGTCACCTTTATCAATTACATCATTGCGTGCATTTATTATTGCGATGTTTGAAGAATTAACAAAAATGCGTGTTTAATTATTGCGATTTTTGGAAAAAGCTACAAACAGATGTATGTATTTGATATCAAAATTCGAGTTCTTATTATTGCGATACTCAAGTAATTGCATTATTCGCATTGATAAAAACAACGCAATAATTTCTGAATTTACACTAATTGTATGTAAGACACAAATGTTGTCACAAATTTCCCGTTAGCCACTAACTGTATGAAAGACACACATGATGCAACATAGCTACCGCAAGCCATCAATTGTATGGGTCATGAAGCCACACAGCTACCTCTAGCCATCAACGCCATGAAAGATACATTTGATGACAAACACAACTACCGCTAACCGTCAACTGAACGAAAGACACACATGATACCACTGTTATCTTTAGCCATCTACTGTATGAAAGACACATACTAGTTTGATGCCACGCCACACAGTTATCGTTAACCATCAATTATTAGAAATACTCATTAAGCCTCAGAGCTACCTTTATCCACTAACTGCATGAAAGGCACATTTAATTAAAATCACCTTTAGCCATCCACTGGATGAAAGACACAAATGATGCCACATAGTGTAGTGAACTTTAATATGAGAAAATACATCCAGAATTAATTCTAAACTGTTATACTAATAATTGATACTGTGGAAACTTTCAATGTATCTATCGTTTCGACCACGCAGGAGTTAATTATCTGCACATGGTTTGATAAGGTTTTGTTGGGATTACAATCATTCTGTAACTGAATTTCGATCGTTTGAGTTGTATAATATATATTAGTATTACTTCGATTCCGCCTTTATATATGTAGCATACGTAAGGAAAAGCAGCGAGCAATTCTTTTAAGTGCCTGTGGCAAAAAGACGTATAAACTTATGAGTTATTTGAGAAATTAAGAAAGTCTATTGACTTATGACGACATTGTTAAGTTAGTCACGGATCACCAAAATCAAAAACCGTCATCTATCGTACAGAGGTACAAGTTTAACAGTAGATGGAGACAGCCATACGAATTAACATTCAAAAAGGCAATGGAAGTAGCGATGGAAATGGCAGCTAGGATCGCATAAGATCTGCAAGTTCAGAAACCTTAGCCAGTGCACAAAGTAACAGTCCGTAATGAGGAATGTTGCAGATGCGGAAGACCTCATAATGCACGTGATTGTAAATGGAAAGACGCCAAGAGTTATGTGTGCTATAAAAAGGACATTTAGCGAAAAAGTGACGAAATATAGGGAAGGAAAATGCTAAAGAAAGATCGACATTTAAGCAAGAAACACAGCATGGAAAAGTGTACTCGATACAAGTACATCAGTGTCATTGATAAGTAAGGAGACATGAACACATGCATTTGGTAGTGACGATTCATTAGAAAAATCGCCGTGTAGTTTGCGTACATACACGAGAAAAAAAATCGACGTGTTATCGTTATGTTACTGGTATATACAACAGTCAAAGTGTGGATTTACCGATCACCTTAGTTAATGGGACGGGACCGAGTATAATTGGGCGTGATTGGCTTCATAAACTACAACTCAACTGGAAATATTCAAAATTGAGCAATTGTTACACAATCAGGAAACGAAAAAAGGATAATGAGTTACAAGATTTGTTACGTAAGTACTCTCAAGTATTTAAAGAAGGACTAGGTACTTTAAAAGGACATAAAGCAAGGATTTATGTAGATGAAGACGCTACGCCTAAATATTTCAAAGTAAGTCCAGTGCCGTATGCACTCAAAGAGAAAATTGAACGAGAGCTTGATAGGTTAGAAAAAGGGAGAAATATCGAGAAAGCTGAATTCTCATAATGGGCTGCACCCATAGTTCCGATTGTTAAACCAGATAAACCAATAAGAATTTGTGGCGATAATGAAGTAATAATCAACCAAGTGTCTAAACTTGATAATTATCCAATTCCTAAAACCTATGACCTCTCTGTGACATTAAGTGGAGGACAAGCTGTTTCCAAGCTAGATCTGAGTCAGGCCTATCAACAAATTTTTCTCGACGAGGAGTCACGTAAATACGTAACAATTAACACACATAAAGGATTGTATCAGTATAATCGTTTGCCGTTTGGAGTTTCGTCCGCACTAGGAATATTTCAAAGAACAATTGAAAATTTATTGCAAGGAATTCCAAGAGTTGTGGTGCGAGTAGACGACATTCCTGTCACTGGATGTTCAAAGAGTGAACATTTAGACAATTTAGAAACTGTATTAATCAAGTAACATGAGTCAGGTATGAATCTGAAGTAGTGTATTTAGGTCACAGAATTGATTAACATGGAATGTGTCCTGTTGAAAGCAAAGTCAAAGCGATCACAGCGGCACCAGAACCTCAAAATGTTACCGATTTAAAATCATATTTAGGAATGTTTAATTACTACAACTGATTTCTGCAAGATTTATCTTCAAAACTAGCACCTTGCATGAAGTGTTGCAAAAATGGAGATGGGACAAACCACAACAAGAGGCATTCGAATTATCAAAAACTTTACTTAAGTTTTCAAAAGTGTTGGTACATTATGACCTAAACAAGGAAATTATTCTGTCGTGAGATGCTTCGTCATGTATCAGACCTGTTGGATATGTCTCGCGCACGCTAGCACCCGCCGAGAGGAATTATAGTGTTCTTTAGAAGGAAGGGATTAACCATTATATTCGCACTAAAGAAATTTCATCAATACTTGTTTGATAGAAAACTCACAATTGATACAGATCATAAGCCATTGATTTGACTATTTAACGAAAACAATTCTATTCCACCAATGGCAGCAGCGTCTATCGTTAAACCGAGAAGGGAAAACGAAAGTATCCACAGAAATGGTTATGCTGATGGACCACACGGATTCTATGCCGGTAACTGCCCAGCAAATCAAAGCATAGACACGTACGAATCCAATGTTAGGACAATATTTTAGTCGGAAGACAGTTAGGGTATTTGACAATTGTTTGTTTTGGGGAAATAGAGTTGTAATACCAACACCCGGAATAGAAATTATTCTACAAGAGCTACACGATTATCATCAAGGAATTTCACGTATGAAAGTACTTGCGAGAGGTTATGTTTGGTGGACAAATATGGACTCAGAAATTGAAAAGACAGTTCGTGTATGTCACAAGCGTCAAGGCAATCGACATGCTCCACCAGAAGCTCCAAATTCATCCTTGGGAATGGCCGTCAAAACCATGGTCTAGGATACATATTGATTATGACATTGTACTAATGTTCTTAGTATGTGTTGATGCACACTCAAAATATTTGGATGTACAAGTAGTGAACTTTGCTCCTAGTGCAAACACTATACGATGCCACACATAGTTACCTTTATTCACAACTGCATATAAGACATATATGATGTCACATAGTAAGATTTATCCATCAACTGTGTGACAAACACAGATTATGCTACATAGTTACTTTTATTCATCAACTGCATGAAAAAGACACATGATGTCACACATTTAAGTTAAGTTGTTGAAGTTTAATACATGTAGTACAATTTAAATTTACAGTTTCATAAAAATATTTACCAAGGAGATCCATAGATATTTATTCCACAAACATTAACCATAGAATCTTGTAAATAAAAAGCGTTAGTTACTGTTTCCCTAACACAATTTAAAACTTTGGATTGGAGATAATGATTTACTACACAAATAGTCTCTCCAAAATAGTTAGCTTCGGTAAAAAGACTTTCGTAAAAAGACAACACATGATTTCCTGCGATTACAATCTTCTTTTTATGAGAAAGTTGACCTGAAATTTATAACACATCAGTTAGGCAAACAACCATTGTTAATAAAGCGCGGATTCAGGAAATTCATTTCAACGGAGTATAACAATAACTCATTTACATTATTTAAATTTTTCATTCAGAATTTTGATTTAAATACTAATCTATCATATAAAACTGATAAACATTTTGTTTAAAGCTACTACCAGAATATATTCGAAAATATTATTTTACAGGATGACGACACACTGAGCTCATCCTTTGTCAAACCAGCAAGCACGTGTGGTAAGGTTAACATATGCATAGTAGATGCGGATATACGTCATAGCATCGTGCAAATGATTTTTTAAAAAACTTTTATGAATGTATTAGCGTTCTCTTTAATACTTTGAACTTAACATACTTAGTGTTGAAGATAACATGTTTACCTCTAGATGTCTTTTAGTTTTTATATCCTTGGGTTGTTGTATAATGATTGATCGTTGGTTGCTTCACATATAGCTACAAATAATTCATGCATTTTCAGGATGACTTTTTGTATGTTAAAGAATCCTTGAATAAAACTCTCCATGGATCAATAGGCCTGTTGCAAGGCGACATATGCCCTCAAGCATATGTCATACCCAACATATTCTTATTTTCAAGTTGCAGTTTAGCTTTTCCGCCCGTCATTCCGATCAACTTACATTTTGTAATGAATGTTTATTTATTTTCGTCCTGAATATGCATGAAATGTTTGCAATCGAACGTCAAGCAAGCAAAGAATAAATCAATCAACAAATTCAACCTATTTGGTCATGTGATCTGCACAGTTCAACATACATTTGTAAAAAGTAAAATACAAAAATACAAAAATACCAAACTGCAAGGAAGATTCAAAGCGGAAAATCCTTTATCCTTTGGCAAAATCAAAAGCTCAAACACATCAAACAAATGGAAAACATACGCCAAATTTCTGACTTGGTAAAGGCATTTCCCTATGTAGAAAATAGTGGATTAAACCTGGTTTTATAGACCTCCATTATATTGACAACAATTTGTGAGCAAAACAAACAGACATAATAGGCAAAAATTTCAAAAAATTGGGTACAGTAGTCAACATTGTGTTATAATCTTAATCCCTTTAAAAAACAACAACTATGTAAACATAAAACGATGTAAAGTACATCTCAGTGGTATCATATATCAACTTGTTTCGAAGAATCCTACTGAATCCAAATTAAGCATTCATTTGTGAAATCTCCTGCGTGCAGTAAGACGTCTCCAGGAGGAACATAAAAATTCAACGTATTGTCTACATCGAGCATAGAATGTGTATCAGACAAACAAACAAATCGTAAACAATTAGATTTTACTGGAGAATGAATATTTAGTGGGGTTACTGTTTTAAAAGTTTGTGTTTCACTCATCTTTTCCATGCTCTGCTTGGCATATCAGTTTCAAAATCCGGAAGAATGTTGACCTGTTTAAAATATTCACTATTTTCGTCCTTATCTTTTAAAAATTCAAATTCGTCATCAGAAAAATCTTCTAGCGTTTCTTTTTCGTTTTCCTTTGATGTTGTTGAGTACAAACGAAGTTTCTTCATTTTCTTTGACTTTCAATATATCTACAAATATATAGATACATTTAGATTTGTCATTGCCAGTACATGTTGTTAGCGTGTACCAGTTTGTTTTTCATGAAAATATCTATCAAAACCATATAAATCTGACTTTAACACAAACATATCAACAATATGGAAATGGAGATTAGTTATCTAAAATTATTTCCCAAATTTATTATCCTTATAGTTAACACGAAGAATGAAAAAAAAAACTAAATACATGATCTCGAAAGATACTTGTATAAGAACTGTCAAATATAGCCTAATAGTAAATACACACTGAAACCTCTCCATTTAGAAATATATACGAATGTCATATGTAAAATGTTTTTTGCAACAATAAAAAACCCGCCAAAAAAATTACTTAAAACTAAGTAGTTACAACAATCCTTTATCCTTTGGCAAAATCAAAAGCTCAAACACATGAAACAAATGGAAAACATACGCCAAATTTCTGACTTGGTAAAGGCATTTCCCTATGTAGAAAATAGTGGATTAAACCTGGTTTTATAGACCTCCATTATATTGACAACAATTTGTGAGCAAAACAAACAGACATAATAGGCAAAAATTTCAAAAAATTGGGTACAGCAGTCAACATTGTGTTATAATCTTAATCCCTTTAAAAAACAACAACTATGTAAACATAAAACGATGTAAAGTACATCTCAGTGGTATCATATATCAACTTGTTTCGAAGAATCCTACTGAATCCAAATTAAGCATTCATTTGTGAAATCTCCTGCGTGCAGTAAGACGTCTCCAGGAGGAACATAAAAATTCAACGTATTGTCTACATCGAGCATAGAATGTGTATCAGACAAACAAACAAATCGTAAACAATTAGATTTTACTGGAGAATGAATATTTAGTGGGGTTACTGTTTTAAAAGTTTGTGTTTCACTCATCTTTTCCATGCTCTGCTTGGCATATCAGTTTCAAAATCCGGAAGAATGTTGACCTGTTTAAAATATTCACTATTTTCGTCCTTATCTTTTAAAAATTCAAATTCGTCATCAGAAAAATCTTCTAGCGTTTCTTTTTCGTTTTCCTTTGATGTTGTTGAGTACAAACGAAGTTTCTTCATTTTCTTTGACTTTCAATATATCTACAAATATATAGATACATTTAGATTTGTCATTGCCAGTACATGTTGTTAGCGTGTACCAGTTTGTTTTTCATGAAAATATCTATCAAAAACATATAAATCTGACTTTAACACAAACATATCAACAATATGGAAATGGAGATTAGTTATCTAAAATTATTTCCCAAATTTCTTATCCTTATAGTTAACACGAAGAATGAAAAAAAACTAAATACATGATCTCGAAAGATACTTGTATAAGAACTGTCAAATATAGCCTAATAGTAAATACACACTGAAACCTCTCCATTTAGAAATATATACGAATGTAAAATGTTTTTTGCAACAATAAAAAACCCGCCAAAAACATTACTTAAAACTAAGTAGTTACAACAACAAATGGAAGTTTTTAACGACCTTGAATGGCTATACAGCCCTTGCACGGTCAGTAAGTAGTTACTCTTACGAACGGAGGCTTATAAAAATAATATAACTATAAGTGAACTGTATTTCCTTTTTTTTTTTTTTTGATCCTAATGTGTAATTGGATGTAGGGTAAACCAATTTATAAGCCTCCGTTCGTAAGTAGTTACTCTTACGAACGGAGGCTTATAAAAATAATATAACTATAAGTGAACTGTATTTCCTTTTTTTTTTTTTTTGATCCTAATGTGTAATTGGATGTAGGGTAAACCAATTTATAAGCCTCCGTTCGTAAGTAGTTACTCTTACGAACGGAGGCTTATAAATTGGTTTACCCTACATCCAATTACACATTAGGATCAGAAAAAAATTTAGGAAATACAGTTCACTTATAGTTATATTATTTTTTGAGCCTCTACGAAATGATAAAAATGGGCAGCCTTACCATAATGGTATTACATTTTGTTCCTGGTCACGTCTACTCATATGAAAACTTGGTGACGCTTGACGTTGCAAGTAAATCTGATATAGATATATTTGTATGCGAGATTTGTTTGTAAACAAACGGGTCGTTAATTTAAAATCGGGATCGGAGGGGAATAAATACGGATGACGTGAATATATTTATATCAAATCATGGGTTTGTGAATAGGTTAATTTTAATCGAGAACCCTTAATTGGAATAATAAAGTTGTTTTTTCTTATTTTTCATGTAAATAGTCTTTTTATTTCAACCACATGCGCTGGGTGCACGGACCCTCCTTTGTCTTTCCTTTTTTATGCTTATTTTTTCATTAGATAATCTTCAATTTTTAAACTTATTTTCACTTATTCAATGTGATCTTGCTCGAAATCCATTTAATATTACAATAACAGTAGTTTATACATATGAACATGACAGTTGTTTTTCATTGTTTCGTTGGTTGAGTCGAACGTTTCACTTTGTCAGGTTTTATGGACTTTGCCCTTTTAGAATTTACCTTGGAACTCGGTAGTTTTGTTAATACCTTTTTTAATGACAATACCACAAACACCCTGATTTTTTCAAGAATGCTAATTCGTATTTTGCGGACCGTGAATAAAAGATGTAGCCCATTTGACCATCTCCTCAAAAACGAATGCCAATCTCTAAAAAGATATGAAACTAGAGAGAGCTACAGAGCCTATGTCGCTAACCTGGATCTATGTGGATTTTCAACGATGGCAACTCGAAAACATTGTAGACAAGGATAAGTTTCATGACTAAAATTTTCTTTTTTGTTGATTATGCCTTGCTGATCATTTTTACTGTTTACAGTATCTCCCTTTTTTCTGTAATGCCAAATATGAAAACTACAATAGTATTCAAACTTCAGGTCACTTTATATATTTCATAAAACTTTTTCGGAGTTGCTATTGTGGGGAGAACGCACATCCTCCATGTGTATGAGCCTGCAGTGCTTACCCTACCACACTACTTATAAACTCAAAACGCAGTCTGAATTAGGCTACAGCTCACAGGAAGCGTTTATTCCACTCGAAATAATTATCAGGAACTACATTGGCATTATTTTGGAAAAATTAAAAAACACAACGCGAACTAGCACTATTAATTACATTTACTAAACTAAACTTTTGCATTACAATTCTTTTTCTTTCATTTGACCATGTTTTATGTGCATTTGTAAATAAAATGTTGAGTTCTATTTAATTAATGTCTCTGTTCAGCCAAACTCTAATATCAGATGTACGTTATCGAATACGGACGAAGTACAAGCAACTACACGTCCCGAGAGTCGTCGACATTGACCCCATCCAGTTGCAGTATCTATAATTTTAATCACTTTGATTTATGACAGGATCTTAAAAAGGACAATATTTGAAAAAATGATTATTCCACCTTCAATCGTCGTCTTCAACCGAAATTATTTCTAGTAAAATCCCTTGGCGGACGACACCGAAAGTCTAATTGAGTGCCAATTATTTCATACATATTCACTTAACAATATATCAAACTTCTACCTTAAAAACATTCACATATGACCATTCTGAAGAATTTGCACACGGTTTTTATAGGTTGCACTTTGTAAATACAGCTGTTTCACAGACCACGCCTCTTTTGGGGAGAAATATAATATTCATAGATATTTTATTTTGTTTACGTACTGGTTCACAGATATGATCTCTATGTTTCATCTCTTAGAGACATAACTTGGGAATGTTACTAGTATAGATAAACATAAATAGCGACCGCCTTGAATTTTGAGGAAGACCCAAAGTAAAGGAAGGGGTTGTACAGAATTTAAGTATAAGTTTAAACTCTTAGAAGTTCGGGGCATATAAATGTTGAAAATATGCCGCACAGCCCAATATTTTGACCTTTGAAACAAAAATGGTAGTGCATATGAGCTTTCCATTCTAGGATATAATTTTTTACGAAACGTCATAGTAAAAGTGGCACAATTTTAGCCGTAAAAGGAGTTCCTATGGGAAATTGCATTGTCTATATTTACAGAAATGCAACCTGTATTGGATGAAAAAAGAGAACATGTAGAATTTCACCAAATCTGGTTTATCTTCAGAGTCTTGATGAAATTATCTCAAATATAAAGTTATGTAAATATTTCATGAAGATTGAGAAATCCGGGGCCTTTACTATGATGACTCAGCATAAATTCACAGGTTACAATATGCATAGTTTACCTAAAGCCCTGTATGCAAAATAAATTCATAATATATGCTCATTTGTAATTTAAATTGTTAAGCAGTGCTTATATTTACTCTTCGCAGTCATTGAAACTCACAGATCCTTGATGAATATTGTTGTTGGGGTGTCTCCGTCCTGTCCAAAACCCAAAAGTAAGCCGTAACACCTGAATGTGGTTTCTTGTGACTGCGGCATAAAAAAATACAAGTTAGAGATACAAAATTACCTCAATAAAGCTAACAATAGTGTGGTCTATCCTCAAAATGTACTAAATATTCCATATTCACAGAAACAGCTGAATTATTTTGCAAATTTGAGGCCCCAGGGGCAAAAAAACAGAAAAAAATACCTAACCCCTGGGTAATAAAACAGATAATTTAGCCTGTAAAGGCTATGATTTTATTATTATAAAGGTCTTATGTACAGAAAACAATAACTGTGTGCTTTGAATTTATGCAAAAAACAGATTCCAGCAGTCAGTTCTATATATAAAACGTTAAGTGAATTCATATGTCAGACTGGTAACATACATACAATTTTTGCAAAAGTGGCTTTGTTTAAGCACTTCTAGTCACATATTAGCCAACTTATATTAGATATATAGTAAGAGATAATATTATTGTGACAAGAATTCTTCACTGCCCATTTGAGGCAAAAATTGTGAACTTTTACAGATAAATATGCATACAGTAAGATGTGGACTGGAGACAGAGGCAGGATTGGATATTTTATATAATCTTGAATGTTGTAATTATTAACTACTAAACTTTACATTTATAGTATTCTGAAATGCTTTCAATTTGTTATCAGAATAGTTTCATACAGGTTCTAGGCATTTCATGTCAGAATAGGTGCACATAGGATAAGCTGACATTAATTTAAGTCTTGTTTTCAAATTGCTTAAAAAATTGAAACAGGGTCGGGGGTATAAAATGTACTGTAAAAGAAAAGTTAGAGTAAATGCAGTGATTTCTTTTAGGCTATGATTCTGATAAATAACTATTGTTGTTAGAAAAAATGTTTTTCAAGAGTTTTCTATTTAAATAAATGTTAGTATAGGTTGCACTTTGTAAATACAGCTGTTTCACAGACCACGCCTCTTTTGGGGAGAAATATAATACACATAGATATTTTATTTTGTTTACGTGCTGGTTCACAGATATGATCTCTATTTTTCATCTCTCTCTTAAAGACATGAGAGCCTTGAATTCTGAGGAAGACCCAAAATGAAGGAAGGGGTAGTACAGAATTTTAGTATAAGTTTAAACTCTTAGAAGTTCGGGGCATATAAATGTTGAAAATATGCCGCTCAACCCTATATTTTGACTTTTGAAAAATATATTAGTGCATATGCGCTTTCCAATCTAGGATATAATTTTTTACGAAACTTCATAGTAAAAGTGGTAGTTTTAGCCGTAAAAGGAGTTCCTATAGGAAATTGCATTGTCTATATTTACAGAAATGCAACCTAAACTGGGAAAGATGAGCATTCCTTCAACATGGGGAAACATGTGCCTTCCATTTAACGGTCTCATATAAAAAGTTCAAATTTGATTGAACGTTGTAACAGATATATCACTGATGTTCTTTATCTTGAAATTTCGCAGATATATCAACCGGTTTGTAGTGACTTTTGGCACTGACATTATTTCATGTACGCCCAAAGAAAGGAGGAGCGACAATTGTATTTTAGGTTTCTAGGATTTTGTAATCTCATCATATTTAGTTGATGATGCCATTATTATGAATATACAAGTTCAACCATTTAAGGTAGCACTACAGTCAGAATTTTCTGACTCCAACCAACAGTCTTTAAAGATTAATTTCTCCAAAACTACTCAATGGATTTTTAAAATCTTTAATTCATTTTAAAGCTGAAATATAACTCTTTCTTAATCTATAGATAAATTTATTTTTGGTATGATTAATCTCATAATATAGCTCATTAATTGCCAAAAAGTGGTCTTCCAACTTGGATGAAAATGGCACATCAGGTCAAATGGTAGTAAAAATTTGTTTTCATCCCTTTAATCAACCATTCACAATCTACAAAACCGTGTCTCAGATTTTTGATATATGCCTCCAGTAATAAGATATATTATTTTTACTGCTGGATGCCAAACCTCATTTCACCTTTCATCTTTGGAGACCTATAAACAAATTATCCAAAAACTGGGACACGGTATTGTAGAAAATACTCCCTTCAATCACATATATCAAAGTCAAATCAAAGGGGTACCCATAAAGTTTCTATTTTCATTTTTTCCTTACAATTCTCATGAAAAATTGTTCTGAGAAATGACCTTAAAACTGAATTTCCTCTTAAGAACCCCTATAAATGCCACATGAATACAAAAATTCCACTGGGAACACCCTAGGAGTGTTCTGACACCATTACTTTATCAATAGAACCGCACACATTGTGTCTTTGATGCTCTAATGCTGTAAAATTTGCATTTTGTGTGCACTGTATAACACTAACTTGGCATTTGGCGGGAGTTTGACGTCACAGATTTGACCAACATCTGTGATGTAGTAATTAAATAAAGACAAAGCTCCGCCTCTGTCCAGATAGTCTAAGATAAGAGAATAACAGGATTGGCCAGCTGCATCATAATTAATATTTAACATCATTATTCTCACTATAAAGAATAATTTTAATTTGAATTTTAAAAAGAAATATAATATGACCATGATGACTGAAATTAGCTAAATTATTAAAATTAAAATACATGTCCATAAAAAGATCAAGACCATCCCCTTCTTGAAAATAGACTGTCCAACATGATTTATGAGTTTCATGGAATTTACAAATTTCACATAAACTTAAAATTAGTTAAAATGCCTAAAATTATTTTTAAATGTAGAAGACCAAAGACGAGAAATTTATACAGGCAGTCAGAGGCTGTCAAAGATACTTTCACACTCTTTTCCATAATTTTTTTTTCATTTTGGTAGATTTTTTCCCTTTAAATTTTTTCCTATTCATATCTTTTTCTTTTTTTCTGTTCTAAACTTCCATGTTTTATAAATTAGTTTTGTTGCAATGCAATGAGATATTTATCTTGTGGTCAGGGATTAACAGCTGGACACTGGTATCATCAGATGATTGACATATTAGCCCCTCCCAAATGCCTATATATTTAGATTAATTACATGTGCTTTTATTTACATAAGTTCATTATCAATTTACTCCCTGTTGTGATATGATAATGACTTTGGGATTTTTACAAACTGTGCAGAATAGTACTTACTTCAAAATTATGTGATAAAAAAAATATCTTCAAAAAATCATTGTTAGACTGTAGTGCTACCTTAAACAAAACAGTGGTCCTACGTTTTACATTCAATGATCCAATTAAGTATAATAATGAAAACAGCTAAAATTGATGTACAGAATATCATTTTACATCATATGTTTCCTTACACTGAAAATTATAAGAAGCCTCTTTATCTTTTGTTTTAACCAAGTATAACGTTCTTATAACAGAGAATCTCAGATCTATGATTAGAATAGTTGAGAACAGTGAATACAGCAAGTTATCGGGTCTTATACATCCTTGGCTTTCATATTTTTTTGGTTTTGGGCGTTTCTGATGAAAATAGTTTCAGAAAAGTGCTTCGGATGCACGAAATTGTATGAAGTGTTAATTTTAATTTCGAGCACTGGATCGATACCTGTGCTGGTGGAATGCATGTCCCCGAGGATATCTTAAGATCAGGAATCTGCTTCTGTACTGACATGATTTATAACATTTTTTTCTGAACTCTTCCGTTGATGAATTAATAAAGTACTTAAAAAACTAAGGTTCCAACTCTTTCAGGCAAAGTTGACCTTACAAGAAGTATTCTTTTTAGGTACCTTTTGCCTGGCATAATCCTCGACTGAATCCACGAGTATTTCAAAGTTGTGTTTCCAATTGATGGATTTAGGCTCACGATATTTCGGGCCTTTGGATAGCACATTTCGCAGCGAAGTGTTATTGACAATGTTCAGGTCGCTAGTAACGTGGACAGCTGGACTAATTATGAATTGGGAGCTAGGTGCAATCAGGAGGTTAAACTTGGAGTCGTCAATATTGAGATCCTGCTACACGTGTTTGTAATTGAAAATCTTAGTTGCAATTGGTTTTGGATAGATATAGGAGACTGATCTTTAAAATAGGGAGGTATTTTCTAATGAACTGATTTGTGATGATGGATATTGCCCAAGTTTATGGCATCAAGACCTTTAATGGCAAAGGATTGTTTAAAGACGGATCTTTTCTCCTTTTCATCGTTTCCTATGCAAACTGGTCTGAAAAATCTGTTACTGGCAATATCCGAGATAATAGCTGTAAGTTAGTATTGGTTTGTAACAGTGGTTTCCAAACGTATTCTGTACCAACAATGGAGTTTTGAACGAGGGAAGTGATTATCGTGCCAATGTGATGAATACCTAACGGCTTTTTTTATACTGGTAAATGGCAGAAAGTCAGTAATAGGGACATCATTAGGTTAGTGATTATTAATGACGATGACCATGACTGCGTCTACATCGAGAAGCAGAATTAAAAATATTCATCACATTCACCGAGCTACATGAAGAACTAGATAAAATACATATACCATCAATGTTGTCGCAGTTCCCAATTCCCGAATCCAGTAATTTTCATTTTGTCTACGACGAGGTGTTGCAAGATGAGGAGTGTTAATCATGTAGTATCTTTTTTTTCGATGATTCGAAGTCGCATAGAATCGATTGAATGATCAGACTGATTAAAGTGCTGGTAAACACTGTCATTTACATTTTAATGTCTGACCTATGGCCGCATATACGTTTATTGGGCTTTCCTTTCGTTTCACCGAACTATACCAATTCGCAAAGGTTACACTCTAATCCGTAGACGAGCAGTACATTAGTATACGTACTATTATCCTACATAATATGAAACTCTCAGCTTGAAAACTTGCACGAGGAGTAAGCCGGGCACACCCTCTACTCAGCATGCAGTATACTACAATACAATAAAAGTTCAACAACCCGTCATTTGTGAAAGATAAAATCAAACTCCTCACAAAATGCACACCTTTTGTACTTGCATCCTACATAATATCAGAGACATGTCTCTGATAATATAAAAGTGTTTGCTTTGAAATTTTAAAATCAGACAAACCATATACACTATGTGAGACTCAAAGACTGACGACCGGACAGGGTAAAATAATATATCCCCGATATTTTTGCGCTGGATGGCGATAAGAATGACATGTATTACATATTTCCCACTCCATTGGGATAACCCTTGATCCAAGTATCAAATACGGAAAAGGAAACATGGATTAACACCAACCTAGTACATGTAGACTGGGTGAAATGCAATGACTAAAGCTAATCATTTTATTGGAGGAAGATCAAATGTCCGAGGTAAGGAGACGTAACTGTCCGTAATTTTTCTACCAATTTTACGCCAAGAAAAATTATATCTTTTTTCAATCATGGGCTAATCATGCAATTTATGAGCACCTGATGCACCGCTACCTTAAAGTCGAATGTCCTTGCGAAATCATAAATTTCAGTTAACTGCATCATAGAGTCAGAGATCTCCATGGATGAAAATTTAACGATGGAGGAACTTTCACCATAACAAAATTCTGTGTGACGTTCATTCCTTCATTTCCATGTAAGGAATGGTTTACAGGCTGATATATTGCTTATTTTATTTATTTCATTATAGAATAACAAATATTTTCATTAATTGTCATTTGTAACAATTCCAATACCAAACCTGCTGCTCCCACTTAGTCTAGAATGATCACAAGCTGTCCTTTGGGTTCCCACTACGTTTTCTTGCTATTTTTGTAATTGTATAGGGCTTAAAAATCTGTTGGATATTTAATAAAAATAATTTATTTCACTACATCAAAGTCAGAAGTCATGAACCGGTATCGACGATTTGCAGCATCAACTACCAGAGGTTTCGTACTTGTTTTGTAAAACGCTGAAGACAAGATTTTGAGGGCAAAAGTTTAAAACGTAAAAACTTTTTAATGAGTCTACTTTAGATAACTAATTTCATAGTAATATATGCAACATTCATCTTAAACCGAAGACCGGATGTATCAATTTGATTGTAAACTACGGAATGAATTCGGAATTACGATACGAAATTTCTTCAGATATTATCAAGTTGCAGTTAATATTCATGTTTTTACTTTTAAACTTGTAAAGATATTAATTATTATAGATAATTGCTGTGCTCGTTTTATTTGGCATGAAATTATGTTCAGTTTTACGTCTTATTTTGTACTCGTTTAAAAAGGGGGATGCTGATTGCGGAAGTCGTCAATACAAGCACGTGTTCCACTTGTAAAACTTTTTTTCTTTGTTACTGGATTAAACGTTTATTTTTTTAATCTAAATTTCCATTTGCTGAAAACGTAATTAAATAATGCAATCAGTCGTCTATCTTGATCAAGAGTTCTTCTGTCAGGTGTGTCGATCTACCTATACAAGTGATTAGTGATCTTTAACCGGATATCCCTCAGGCTTGAAAACTATAATCAGGAGTACCCTTTGGATTATAATACAAAAAGCCTAAGTGTTAGTTGACTATAATTGCTAACAAAAATGGCGGCGGCTAGAAAAACGAAAACAAATTTTGACAATGGCGGGGATCTTTTGACGGTGGGGGAAGATAATTTAGCGATGGCGGGCCGCCATCATAAAACAGGTCATGGAGATCCCTGAGAGTATTAACGAAGTGAGCTTTTTCGTAAATAATAAACATATTTTGTCGTTTTGTCGAATATTCTGCATGCTGCATTTTGAATTAAGGAATACATGTCTCTTATGCAAAGCTCTGGTTTCTTGTCCAGTTTTGGCTATAATTTGTGTCCTTTTTTATCTAAGCTCTTCATTTGTTTATCAAGTTTTGGATTTCAAATGTATTGCCTCGAGCATCACTGAAGAGACATTTATTGTCGAAATGTGCATCTGGTACAGAGAAATTGGTACTGTTAATATTATTAGGTTCTATAATCAATTCATGGGTGGAATTTAACAACATTTTATATTTAGTTGTCAATTGTGTTGACCTCAAGATATCACATAGATCCGTGTTATCAAGACCAGTTATTTTGCATGATTACCCTAGCAATGAGACGTTTTTGGCATACAAAACTTGAATACCAGGGCAGGTCTTCCTTCATTGTTTTACCAATGATTTTAGACTGAGATAAATGAGATAAAACAAGTCCATTGTCATTTCCAGTTCTTTAATTATCCACATTCTATTATAGTGAACTAAAGAAGTCAGTAATAATTCTTTGTCAAGTTAAAATATTTAAAAATAAAATGCTTCGCTGAGCGCAGCCTGATACGACCGTAGTGGTCGAACCCTGAACAGTTGAGGCAAATTTGGACACAATATTCAAGCTTGATACTATCTGAAGTTGGATTGTGATCAAATTTTTTACATAATATAGGTTTCTGACACAAAATAAATGTGGTCAAAGATCTTACAAATCTAATACGCAGTACTGTGCAATTGAAGATTTCTTCTTGAAACTTTTCGAAAATTTGAAATTTTCAAAATTTTGAAAACAAAATATGAACCCTTTTAAAAAAAATTGGAAACCCCCCTTCCCCCCAAACTTTTTGAATCCCCCTTTTAGCATTAACCATCAAACTCAATTGCAGTCTTTCCTTTGTAGTATGGAAACTTGTAGTACAATTTTAGAGAGATCCATACACTTAATCACAAGTTACTGTCTGGAAACTAGAAAAATGTTTTTTAACCATAAAAGCCCATTTAAATTCATCATAAAAGTATTAAAATAGAAAATGACATCAAAGTCATGGCTAAAATTAAAAAAACCTTCATCAGCAACTTTTAATGGTAATATCTACAAATGAAACTCCTTCATCAGCATTTAAAAGTAACTTCTTAAAATAAATTGACAGCTAGGACTTTGCAACCATAAAAACCCATTTAAATACATCATAAAAGTATTAAAATAGAAAATAACATCATAATCATGCCTAAAATTAAAACACTTTCATCAGCAACATTAAATAGTAATATCTAAAAATAAAATTCCTTCACATACATAATCATGGCTATAATTAAATTACCTTTATTAAACATTTTTAAAATAGTAACTTCTAAAAATAAATTGACAGCTAATCACCTAAAGACAATACATTTCTTTATAAATAATTTACAAGCAGTGTAAGGGAGGTAATTTGACAATATGTGTTTGAATTACCTCCCTTACACTGCTTAAAAATTATGTTTTGTACTTAAGTAATTGTCCATTAACCTGGAAACCATTGTTTTCCCCCTTTTTTGCCCCTAATTCCTAAACACTTTGAGCCATAACCCCCCAAAGCAAATTCTTACCATCCCTTCGTGATATGGTAACTTGTGATATAATTTCAGAGATCCATACACCATTTCACAAGTTATTGTCTGGAAACTAGAAAAATGCTTATTTGGGACCCATTTTGGCCCTAATTCCTGAACTGTTAGGACCATAACCCCCGAAATCAATCACAACCTTACTTTTGTGGTCATAAACCTTATGATAAAATTTTAAAGAAATCCATACACTTAAACAAAAGTTATTGTCCGGAAACCAATGTGTCTTCGGACGACGACGACGACGACGTGATACCAATATACGACCGCAATAACTAAAAGGTGTCGCAAATAAATGTTACAGATAAAATACTATCGTTTACAATATTAAAATAAAGGTATAAAAACACAATTTTCAACAAATCTCTCACACATACACATTATCATAATATATATTCATGCCATTAACCCGAGTATTGTTTTAGAAGCATATCGTTAGAAATAAAATTAAAAAAACACACACATTCTAACGCTGTACTGAAAATACAAATTAAAAGACTAAATACAATTTAACTGACAATGGTATACATACGGTTGATTGTTCGGCATATAAATTAAAATATCATCATGCTTTTTTACAGATAAGTAAGAGATACTAATGTTGAATAAACAAGCATTCTGAGAGTATTGTATGGCAATACATAGTCCCTTACCGGTTAAAAATTCATTGTAATGGAACGAAATTCTAACTTGATCTATATCTTGTCATGGTGTATTTAACCACATAAAAATATCAAGTCAATATCTTCAATCACAACTGTTGAAAACTGATTATTTAAGTGACTTTTTTATGTCCAAAGACCATAACTCTGCACAAAAACATCAGACCGGAACAAAATTCGAACTTGATCTGTAACTTGTCATGATAAAACTATATACTAATTATCAAATCAATATCTTCAAGAATGACAAAATTAAAGTGGAAAACTGATTATTTTAGTGAATTTACACTTGGCCTGGGCGATGATATTCATTAATTTTATCCCTCACTAACACTCAGGATAAATTTGGATATCATGGCTGAGGCCATGTTTAAATTTCCAACAAATCTATGGCTTCCATGAATTATTTCTGAAATGAAATATATCCTTTATCAAAAATGGATTATTATCTAAATAAAAGAGTTCACTTCATCCCAAAAAAATTTTAATATATAGCATTCAGAAAACTAGTTTATACAGAATCAATAACAAACAAACCTACCACTTAATACTTCAAACAATTAACTAAAGAAAAGGGAACAAATCCGAAATGTCATTTATAATTAACATGATTAATAAAAATATCTTTTTAAAAAATGAGTTATTTCCCTTTGAACAGAAATCTAGTAATTAACAAGTATTTTCTCAAAATTTTAATTCTAGGGAAAGGGCTTTAACTGAACAAGGAGAAAAGCTAAAATCTTGAAAATTGAACTTGACCTGTAACTTGTCATGATAAAACAATACACCAAATATCAAATCAATATCTTCAAGCATGAAGAAAAAAGGTCTGGAAAACTGATTTGCCGGACTGACAGATGGACAGACAGACGGGCGGAGTGCAAACCTAAAGTCCCCTTCGACTTCGTCGGTAGGGGACTAATAATTTAATATAAACTGTTTGTTTTACTCAGCTTTAGTTTTAGTCAATTTCAACTGTTGTAAGGTCAATAGTTTGTTGTCTATGTCTTTTTTGCTGATGCCCATGACTGTTTTACTAGAAGATTCCTCTTTGGAATAAGACACAACTTCAACACTTCCTAGTAATCTATCTTTTGACTGTCCAGGTGGCAAGGGGACATCAAATATTATTGGTGGATTACTCAGTTTATATCCTTTTGTACAAGAGGATGCATTGATAAACAATGTTTCCCCATCTGTTGTTACCCCATAACCTTAAAAGTAAAAACATATCAATGAAGTTCTTCGTTTGTGTTTGTGTTGACATTACAACGATAAGTGATTTCATAGATTTATATAGAGACAAAATAGAGATTCCCTGCACATTACCCATGAATGTGTTCTTTTGAAAATAATAATCCGGACTATAATTTTTACTGTATCAATCTATCAACACTTACAAGTCGATCCAATTTCATCAAAACAAAACTATCCATCTATAAATCAATAACATTTGTTGTGTTATCGGCAATAAAACCGAAAACGTGTGTTGCATTGTGTTATTTTAAATCTCAAGTCTTGCTAATCGTGCTTCCAGCTTATGATTTATATGAAGGTTTACACAAAATGATGCTTTATTTTTATAAGTTTCTGTTGATATGCCAAAATACGATACTTAGATATAAGAAGATGTGGTATGAGTGCCAATGAGACAACTCTCCATCCAAGTCAAAATTTATAAAAGTAAACCATTATAGGTCAAAGTACGGTCTTCAACACGGAGCCTTGGCTCACACCGAACAGTAAGCTATAAAGGGCCCCCCAAAATTACTAGTGTAAAACCATTCAAACGGGAAAACCAACGGTCTAATCTATATAAAAAACGAGAAACGAGAAACACTTATGAACCACATCAACAAACGACAACTACTGAACATCAGATTCCTGACTTAGGACTGGTGCAAACAAATGCAGCGGGTTTAAACGTTTTAATGGTACCAAACCTTCACCCTTTTTCTGAAACAATAGTGTAACATCACAACATAGAAAGACACACTATAAAATATCAACTGAAATAGCTTAACTCAATCAAAGGACATATTAACACCATTGAACATACACTGAACAAATAAATTTGACCTATGATACAATGTAAATACAAAATAAATAAACTAAGGGAAGAATAATAAAAGTAACATGTTATATCGGTATGAAATGTTAAACAATTAAAGAAAAACAATCTGCTCGAACAAAAATATCAGCCGTTTGAAATAACTTTAAACACAGGTAAATGAAAATAATTTTGTTGTTAGGTATACGTATACAGTTCCAATAGAGAAAGGAAATATTTTTACAAAATAAATAATTTTGATGTTCATAGTACGAAGTGAACTTGCATGTTCTGATGTTTCTGTTGTATTTTATTTTTTGGAAATATTATCTTTAATTGTGAGAATGACTTACCCTCATGTATGTGACCAAATAAGTGATAATTTGGTTTAACACGTTTCTGTACTGTGTTTAAAAGTTCAACACAACCAACATTTATTCCAGCTTTGGTTAAATCACCGTGACCTGAGGAGTAAAGATTTACATTGAATATTAGTAAGGACCATCTTGAGCAGCTATTTACTTTATGGAGTTTAAATTGATTCTAGATATCCCTATCATTTGTTTTTGAAACGTTTGGTTGCCATTTTGGTAGGCACCGACCATTCATTTTTTTTTATAATTTTCACGAAAACAGCAAAACAACCTGCAAAAAGTCATTTAATTAAACATAATATAAATAAAAAAATTATAAATAAATCAATAATGTCTCCTTTTTTTTTTTACTTGACAAATATTAAAAGGTATGTGTGTCACAATATTGAAAATAATTGTATTGTCCCTAGGCTGTTTTATTACACATTTTAATTTGATTAATAGCGGTTTGTTTTTTACAGTGGATAATTTTTATTTCCTATAATCCTTTTGTGTACACTGATTCTCACATTTAGACTATTAGGGAAACATTTGACTTGTGTATGTCAACTAAATAATATTAGAACTCAAGAATAAATTACAGACTTGTGTATCAAAAAAGTATGTTCCTGTAAATCCTGATATATTGATATTTGTAAAATAAATATTAATTTACAATTTATATTAACATAATTTGTTATCATTAACACCATTAAAGGACATGTAATTGAAATGTTATTCAAAAGTAATTTAGCATTACATGCTTTTATCATTGTAATTAATTAAATTACCATTACATGTAATTAAAAAAATGCTCAATTACACATTACATTCAATTACATGGAAAATTGTAATGCATTTCACTTAATTACCATTACATTTTCAATTACCCCATCCCTGCTTGTCATGATGACGATTTTTGCATTTAACACTTTTAACCAAGCTCCTACAGTTTTTGAAATAATGACAAAGGGTAATAACTTCAAAGCATTTAGACAGATTTTACGAAAACTTTTAGGGTTGATAGAAATTGTGCTGATCATTTTTACCCTATCAGTTTTTATCTAATTGCTATATTGTTAGAGATATAAACTAAAACTGTAGTTGACCCTTGGGCTCTATTTTTAGACAGGGCGGCCATGCTGGTTGATCAACCTGGGCAAAAATCACAAACTTTATAGTTGACTTCATATAATAGTAGATGAAGAAGACAAACTTTAGTTTCAAGCCATTGAACAGTTTCGGAGTAGAAATTGTTTTAAGAAAAAGTTCACGGTCGACGGACGCAAAGTGATGACAAAAGCTCATCGGGCCAGATGAGCTAAAAATGGTTTGTTTCAATAAAGATTAGACGGGAAAAATACTATTAATTGAACATTGTGGTTATAAAAAAAATCCTCTATGTTATTGAAAAAAATGTTGAGAAGAAATGTTAGTACCGAGAAACAAGATCTATGCCAAAACTTAAGATAAATGATTGGTGTCTAAGTCAACAGCATCGTTGAACCATACGCTTTGATGCTGATCAAGGGCGCTGTGGATTTATTAGAGAAAATTAAAATTAACTTGCAACACCTTAAACTAGCATGAGAGTAAAAGAGGCCTTTTACAGCCGACTATACGGTATGGGTTTTTCTCATTGTTGAAAGCAGTATGGTTGCCTATAATTGCTTACATCCTCTCCATTTGAACTTTGGTGGATAGTTGTCTCATTGGCAATCATACCTCATCTCCTTTTTTTTATATCCTAAGCCAAGAAAAATGAAGCAATTAATATTGATAAGGGGACGACCATTTGATAATTTGATATAATGGGAGGACAAAAAGGGGTGATAGGGTGTAGGAGGATTTTTTGCAGATAGATTATTCAATTTCATTTGTTGCATCGCATGCTTATTTACCGCCCACCCCCCAACCCCGGAATTCAAATGGTCGTTCCTTAATGGATACGTATTCCACTAGTAGTGGTAGATTGTTTACAATTTCGGAGCACCTCACATAATACCTTGTTTTGGTTGGGTTTGAACCTTTCTGTTCCGATTGTCGTTTATTCTTTTTCATTTTGGTCATATCGTGGTCTATCCTTCTTCGACTCTAAACATCGTTATCTTAAAATTAGATCAAAGCAATGAAAGAATGGACGATGTTGATATCAAGTCGAAGAAAGTTCTATCAACTATGATCCGAAGTATGTCGACGAAAATAATGTGAACGTAGGAGAAGGACAATGTTAATACGTTGTTTAATCGAAATTGTCAATATCGTCAACAATTCTAACGATGCGAAGACAAAGAAGACATGGAATGATTTTATATGGTTTGTGCGGAGAGAATGAGATAAAAGAAAAATAGGGCATACAAAAGAGACCAAAAGCATATAAACAGAACTCATACTGACAAAAAAAGGACGAAAAACAGAGATATACCACAAACACTGTCTACAAAACACTACATAAATAAAACTGGGAAATAGGAACTCAGGTGCTCAGAAAGGGAAAACATATCAAGCCAAAAGTACCCGTCGTGTTGCTTATGGCAAGTACCTATGGTAAGAAAAGGAACGACAATAAAAATACTATGTAGAAACTTTTTCAACATTACTTTGTCGACTACTGAAACGACTTTAGTAAGATAATTAAAATAGCTGTATAAGAAATAGACACAATATTTTGACGATATCGTAATTACATATAGACAGGTCATAAAGAATGAATCTTATATATTGATTGGTGATTGCATAACGCCACTTTAGAACATAATGACTAGATTGTAGCACGTAGAACCTGATGAACAACATATACTCGTACGCCATATATCCAAAGTCAGTGATGCATCAAAGAGGTAACAACTTATCACAGATATCAGGCTTATAATTTGGTTCGCCAGTCGCGCGTTTTGTCTGCATAAGACACACCAGTGGCGCTCAAATTTAACCAGATGGAATGCCAAATCAATTACGAAGTTTAAGAGCATTAAAAACCGAAAATTCGATAAAGGTTGTGCCAAATACGACTGTCAGCTTTACTCACTAAAATTCATCAGATTGTTAATTGATATTATTATCTTATCAAATCCAATAATTTATATTTAATAGTTGTTAACCTAATAATTTTTAAATACACTACCTAACTTCGAAGTACGAAATGGTACCTTGAAGAAAAATGGTGTGTTCCTAATATAAAACTCACCAACAGGTGGTCCATGTGTAATGAGAATATCAACATTTTCCGGTATCCAATTCCACTTCTGCAATATTTTTTCCCCACGGATAACATTGAACGCCCAACTACAATATCGGGGTTGCCTAAAACATTTAAAAAATAACAATAAATCAATGCAACTAGAACAAAATGCTCCGCAGGCGCAGCTTGATACGACCGTAGAGGTCGAACCCTGGACAGTTGGGACAAGTATTGACACAACATTTAAACTTGATACATCTCTGAATTTGGATTGTGATTAAATATTTGACACAGCATAGGTTTCTGACACAGAATGAATGTGGTCTAAGAACTTAAAAATTGAAAAATTGGACATTTACTTATAATGGTCCAATATCCGAAAATCAAAATACATGGTTACATTCGGAATATCAAAGAAACCTCAAGAATTCAATATTTGAAGAAAACAAATTTACTTCAATTTTGGACCCTTTGAACCTTAATGTGAACCAATTTGAAAACCGGGCCCTAAAATCAAAAATCTAAATACACGTTTAGATTCAGAATATCAAAGAACCCCAAGAATTCAATGATTGATGAAATCAAACAAAGTTTAATTGTGGACCCTTTGGACCTCAATGTGTCCAATTTCAAAACGGGGCCCAAAATCTATATAGATTCACCATATAAAAAAACCCCAAGAATTCAAGACTTTGAATTAAACCCCATTGAAAATGGTAAAAAAATAATGAATTTATACAGAGTATTAAAAAAGTATTGGTTTAGGCCCCTGTTTCCTAAATGGTTAGAGCCATAACCACCCAAATCAATCCCAATCCTCCTTTTTTGCTATGGAACCTTGTGGTACAATGTCATAGAGACTTATACTAATGTTATTGTCCGGAAACCAGAACATCCTTGTTTTTGGTCCCTTTTTGGACCCTAATTCCTAAACGGTTTGGGCCATAACCACCATAATCAATCCCAACCTTCCTTTTGAGGTATGAAACCTTGTGGTACAATTCCATAGAGATCCATACACTTATACTAAAGTTATTGTCTGGAAAGCAAATGTCTTCTGACGACGACAACGTCATCCTATTACACGGCCGCAAACATTTTGCAGTCGTATAAAAAGTATACACAGTGACATAAAAAGAGAAAATTGAATTGGAAAATTTTATTACAAGAGACAAAATATATTAAGGACTCCGAACAAGCTATCTGATATCTGTTATCATTCACACTGCTGGAACACAGGTTGAAATAAAGTGTTTAAACCGTAAGTCGCTACACGCTACACGCAGTTTTAAATATGAATTTATATCAATTTCCCAATTTTATTTATAGTCAATAAGTCTTGTGTTTTTTGGTAAAGCGGGTATCTTCGAGTTTTTCTTTAATCAAAATGTAAGCATGTGAAAAAGGATCAATGAAAGGAAAGTTTCCTACAATGTGCATATAATATAAATCACTGTCTTTATAAACAAAAGTAAACATAGTAAACAAAGAATTTATAACAAAAAAAAATAACATTCTAACAAGATATTACAATAAAGTAGACGTCTTTAAAGTTGACGGATTTCTGTAACAAAAGACGAAGAGATGAAACCGAAATAGTTTTATATATACCTGTAGTAAGACATGTTAGCTATATATAGTATCAACTGATTTTTAGAGAATTGATTACAGCTAATGAGGTTTCTTCAGATCAAAGGATGTTAAATGAAACCAATCCGAATGGATGTGGGTTTTTAATCCATCAGAGTTCTTTTAATTTCTTGACTTTTAAACTGTTTTTATAGATAATTTCCAGGAGTGCCTTGAATTGATCAATTGATTACTAAAGCAGATCGGGTGCAAGTACAAAATCAGCAATATTAAAATGACCTAGTTTGGTACACTTTATATGTCTTCAACAAACGTCCGATAGGCATAACAGCAACTACATTATATAAAACAGATTTTTAGTATTGTAGATATTTTCTGATGGTTATAATTTATTTTTTTCTGATATGACTAATTCCATTGCAAGACACATATAATGTCACACTATTACCATTAGCTAACAACTGCATGAAAGATATATTAGATGCCACACAATTACCTTAAGCTATCAGCTGCATGAAAGACGGACATGATGCCACACAGACACATTTATCCATTAACTGCATGAGAGATACATACGATGCCACAGATTTACCTTTATCCATCAACTTCATGAAAGCAAATATGATGTCACACAGTTACCAGTATCCATCAACTACATGAAAGACACATTTGATGACACAGTTACCGTAAACCATCAACTGGATGAAAAGACACATATGATACCACACAGTTATCTTTGTCCATCAACTGCATGAAAGACACATTTGATGCCACAGTTATCTTAATCCATCAACTCCATACAAGACCCATATGATGCCACATAGTTACTTTTAGCCATCAACTGCATGAAAGACACATAAGATGCCACATCGTTACCTTTATCCATCAACTGCATGAAAAAAACACATGCCATATAGTTACCGTAAGTCATCTAGTCCATGAAAGACAGAATCGATGCTACACAGTTGCGTAGCCACCAACTGCATGGAAGACACATTTATGTCATGTCACACAGTTACCGTTAGCCATCAACTGCCCGAATTAGCCACCAACTGCATGAAAGACACATGTGATGCCACATAGTTAATAGTAAATAGTGCAATCTAAATTTACAGTTTCATGAAAATATTTACCAAGGAGATCCATAGATATTTATTCCGCAAACAGTAACCATTGAATCTTGTAAATAAATAGCGTTAGTCACAATTTCTCTAACAGATTTCAATCCTTTGGATCTGAGATAACTTTTTACTTCACCAACACTCTCTCCAAAACAGTTAGCTTTGGTAAACAGACTTTCGTCAAAAGACAACTCATGATTTCCTGCGATTACAATCTTCTTTTTATGAGACAGTTTACCTGAAATTTATAACATCAGTTAGGCACACGGCCATGGGTAGTAAAGCGAGGATCCAGGAAATTCATTTCTATGGAGTATAACAATTACTTATTTACATTACTTTCACTCAGAATCTTGTGTTCAAAACTAATCTATTGTCATATTATTTAAAACTGATAAACATTTTGTTTAAAGCTTCTACCAGAATACCCGGTATATTCGAATGTTATTTTGCAGGATGACGACACACTGAGTTCATCCTTTGCCAAACCAGCAAGCATGTCTGGTAAGTTTAACATGTTCATAGTAGATGCGGGTATACGTCATAGCATCACACATATGATTTTTTAACCTTTACAAATGTATTTGCCTTTTCTTTCTTTAATACTTTAACCTACCATGTCCACTAATTCTGCTTACTATCATCATGCAAAAAGGCAACACTACATAGTGCTTCATATATGTGTGTTTATTTAACTTAATGCATGCTTTTGTGTATGATTATGTATTGTATGTCGGTTAAAAGCTCGTTACAGCTGATGCTTTTTTCTTGTTTTGTAAATCATGTCATCTCCATTAATAAAAGTTATTTATTAAATCAATGAGCACATGACAACTATCCAGGACACACAAAGCCGAAAGACATCCAAGGGTCAAAATACAGTCTTCAAATTCAGTGTAGAGATTTACTCAGAGCATTCTACAATATCGTTTCTTCCTGTACCTTTTTGTGGTGATGCTGTATAAACATAATTATTCTGAACTTTTATTAGTGGCCAATATCACATCATAGGGCTGCAATCAGCTACTGAAATTTAACATGCTGTTATCATAACAGCATGTTAAATTTCAGTAGCTGAGACCATTCTGTGATGTATTATGCATCGGTGTTGTGCTTGTGTGGCAATATAGAGGAAACAAGAGGTGATGGTAATAACCAGTGTACATGTATATAGATACAGGAGGACTCCAGCCTTCAATCTATCCAATTAATCTCCTCAATAGAAAACTAAGTTCTCTTTTTACAATATTCTGTTATATAATGCAAATGAAATGCATTTATCAAAATAACTATAAACTTTAATAAAACTCTAGCCATCAATTTTGAAATAGTGAAAGAATGCTGGACTGTCTATAAAAAAATATTGTGTTTTAGATATTAATTTGACACATCATGGTCAACTATGTTTTCCCTGTTCAAAAGGTGGATTAATGACTTATACTTGATTGAAATTCTGATAGATAATACTTGTAATTTTGAATACATTTTTACTAATAATTTAACGTCTAAAGAAAATCATAGACAGTCCCTGTTTTACCAAATTGATTTTTAAAAAATATGTAAAAGGTCAATCATATTGTCACATGTGTAAATTTTGAAATAGTGACAGAATGTTCAACTGTCTATATCATAAATATTGTGATAAGATATTCATTTGACACATCATGATCAAATTGTTTTTTCTGTTCAAAAGGTGGATTAATTACTTATAACTCAGCATATACCCCCACGACACTTACCAAAGAGGAAATCCTGGATAATTATAGTCTGTTCTATGTTCCTTTGGAATTTCAACCAAAGATGAAGAACTGGATCTTCCATCACTGTATTGGATACATAAACTACATAAGTATCCTTACAATCAACGTTATATTGCTGGGTCTTCCAAGTGCTCCACGAAACCTCTTTCTAAATTATTAACATCAATTTTATCAGCAAGCAAAGCCGGGCTTCAAAATTATTGTGAAACTACCTATTCTAGAGGAGGCGTGAATCAGATGTGGATATTGAAAAATTCCAAAGTTCTATAAGAGTACATACAATCTAAGACTCTTTCATCTTGCAATAGTATTAAAACATTTGACTTTTCTACACTTTACACAAGTATTCCCCATTCCAAAATAAAGACAAATTGAAAGAGTTGGTCCTGCTTTGTTTTATAGAAAAGAATGGCCAACGTAGATACAAATATCTTGTCTTAGGGAGGGATAAATCGTACTTTGTAAAAAATCACTCTGATTCAAACAAAAAATTCTCTGAAACTGACATTATCAAGATGTTTGATTTCTTGATTGACAACATATTTGTTACGTTTTTAGGACGTGTTTTTCAACAAAAAATCGGCATTCCCATGGGAACCAACTGTGCTCCTCTTCTTGCCGATTTGTTCCTTTATTCATATGAGGCTGACTTCATACAGACACTTCTTAGGAAGAAAGAAAAGAAGTTAGCAGTATTCTTTAACTTTACTTTCCGCTATATAGATGATGTTCTCTCACTAAATATTTCAAAATTTGGTAACTTTGTTGAACACATCTATCCCATCGAACTTGAGATAAAAGATACAACAGATACAGTTACGTCTGCCTCATATCTTGACTTACACCTAGAAATTGACATTGAGGGTCGGTTGAAAACAAAACTTTACGACAAAAGAGATGATTTCAGCTTCCCAATTGTGAACTTTCCATTTCTATGTAGCAACATTCCAGCAGCGCCTGCATACGGAGTATATATCTCCCAGTTGATACGATATTCCAGGGCTTGTAATTCCTATCATGATTTCCTTGATAGAGGGTTGCTGCTCACAAGGAAGCTATTAAACCAATAGTTCCAAGTGGTGATGTTGAAATCATCCCTTCGTAAATTTTACGAACGCCATCACGAGTTGGTTGACCGTTATGGAATATCCGTTTCACAGATGATAGCGGAAATGTTCCAATGTTGTAACTACACCTTTTCACCAAATGTGACCTACCAAATTAGACTTATTACCGGGTTTGTACTAAAATGAGCAACACGACGGGTGCCACATGTGGAGCAGGATCTGCTTACCCTTTCTGAGCACCTGAGATCAATCCCAGTTGTTGGTGGGGTTCGTGTTGCTCGGTCTTTAGTTTTCTATGTTGTGTTTTGTGAACTGTTGTTTGTTTGTTTGTCTTTTTCTTTTTTAGTCATGGCGTTGTCAGTTTATTTTCGACTTATGAGTTTGAATGTCCCTTTGGTATCGTTCGCCTCTCTTTCTATACTTGAATTAAAATCTGACATCTAGTACTAAGTCAATGTAATTTTGTAAATACGTTTTTACTAATAATTTAACATCTAAACAAACCATAGACAGTCCCTGTTTTATCAAATTGGTATTTCCAATATAAAAAAGTCAATCATATTGTCACATGTCTACTTGTAGTTTTGTTATCTTTTAAATCATTATTATAGGGTGTTTTTTTGTACTCATTTTATTGAACGTTTACGTATTTACGTACATTTTAACACTCGACAATAGAGATTAAAAGTAGGATCACTGAGATCTTAAAAATTAGTTAAACCCGTGTTCAAGTGTCTATCCCAAGTCAATACCTTCTTCAGAGGTTGTCTTTTAGTCATATCTTACTGAAAGTGTTTCGACAATTAGGCAATGAATTTGATGTTGATGGTCTATGCTAAACTTGACTAAGTGTTGAAGATCACATGTTTACCTCTAGATGTCTTTTAGTATGTGTGTCCTTGATTTGCTATAAATTGACATATTCCTCATATATCACCCTCAATTCAGCAACTATAAACAAATGTCACATAGGTGCTCTTTATCACATCGATTCTGTAAATGGGTATGACGTTAGACTGAAGTGCATATAATGCTCCTCCTCTTAAAAAATGTTTTAAAAAAGAGAGGCATTTTTAACAGCTGAAAAGCTCAATAAAAGGTTCGATTAAAAATGCGCTCCTTTCACGTTCAAATTTAAAATGCCTAAAAGATTTTTTAATAGTGTACTTTTTATCGAACTTGGAAAATATTGTGTAATTATTTCAAAGGTTTATAAACGTGCATAGAAGGACAGCTGAACCAATGCAGTTATATATTTGATAGAGTTTTGGTTAAGAATTTCTTATTATTATATTTTCTTATTACTGACACAATATTTGCAAAGTTATAAATGTATATGTTCCGGACCATATGAGTATTAGGACCATATGCATGACCATATGCTTATACTCGCATGGTCGGACGTATGGTCGGACCATACAAGTATATACTCTTTTGGTTATTAACGAGCTGGACCTTATGAGGTATTTTTCGATAAAAATTCTAACCTCCTTCACAGGAACACACAGCTCGTTCACTAGACCAAATCGACACAAAGTTCTAACTGAAATCCTTTATCTTTCACACATTGTCTGAATCTTGGCGATCTTATCCTGTAGAATTTTTCGTCCATAAGTGAAACCACAATCGTTAGGGACATGGGCCATTTTTTTCTTTATCCCTGATGTTTAGATTATTTTTTTTTTATTATTATTATACATATAATTTTCTATATATTTTCATTTAATTACAGCAGTTTATACGTGCTGCCCCTCTATTCTTATTTTTCACATAAGAATAAAGGGACAGCACATATAAACTACTCATATTGTAAAATCGTATGAATAGGAGAATGAACACACTTAATAACTAAAAATAACTTGAATCATTAAAAAAAAAATGTACATAAAAAATTTAAACACCAAAATAAAATATAAAAAGAGTGTTCAATGCCCCTAGTGTAAAACAAATAGTTGACTTCTTGTGTTTCGTAAGGAAAAATCGATAACGACCATGTAAAAACTATATGTATGTTATTGATTGGTTGTTGGTTGCTTTACGTCCAGTGACAAACACTTCATGCATGTTCTGGACGAATCTCTTAATGTTAAAGAATCCTTGAAAAAAATCTCTAGGGATCCGCAGGAGGCCAGTTAAATGCAACATATGCCCTATCGTACATATTCTTATTTTCAAGTGGCATTTTAATTTTGACGCCTTTCATCACGTCCAACTTACCTTTTGTGATGAATGTTTATTTGTTTTCGTCCTGAATATACATGAAATGTTTGCCACTGGGCATTAAGCAAGCATCAATGAATCAGAGGCGGATTCAGAGGGTTTTTCAGGGGGCCCCTTATCATAATTTCTGGATCCACCACTGTGAATCATCAACAATTTGCACCTTTTTGGTCTAGTGATCGGCACAGTTCAACTTTTTTTTCAAAGAATACTACTGAATCTCAATTATGCATTCTTACCTAGGGCTTCATTGAACCTTTCTATTTCCAGTGGTCTTCCTTTCATCGTGAAATCTCCTGCGTGCAGTAATATGTCTCCAGGAGGAACATAAAAATTCAACATATCATCTACATGTAGCTTAGAATGTGTATCAGACAAACAAACAAATCGTAAACAATCAGGTTTTACTGGGGAATGAATATTCAATGGGGTTACTGTTTTAAAAGTTTGTCTTTCACTCATTCTTCTCCAAGCTCTGCTTGGCATATCAGTTTCTAAATCCGGAAGAACGTTGACCTGTTTAAAATTATCACTATTTTCGTTATTATCTTTTAGCAGTTCTAATTTGTCATCTGAAAAATCTTTATGATTGTCTATTTCGTTTTCGTTTTTCTTTGATTTTGTTGTCTTAAAGCTAAGTTTGACCTGTTTCTTCATTTTAGTTCTCTAAATTTATCTAAAAATATATAAAGATATATATAAGAATGTGTCGAATGGTAAGCACATGTTGTAAAGTGTTAACCAGTAATTTTTTTCTTGAACTACTTATCTAGTACAATGTATCTATCATGTCTATTAAAAACATAAATGAACGCGAAAATGTGAAAAAAAAATGAAATGGGAGAATAAGTTTTCTAATATCTTTCTGAAATTTATGAAGAAATATGAAAAATTAAATACATATCTCGTAAAAAATCATTTAATGTATACCTCATAAGATATACTTGTATCAGATCTGTCAAAGATAGGGTTAATCAAATCAAATCAAATATTTTATTGTCGTATAAACTTTACAGTTTGTGACCAACATGTATTAACACAATAAACATATATACATACATATCAAACAAACACAATAAAAACAGCATCAAAATTTATAAAAACAAACAAGCTGTTAAGAGTCCACTGCCCTCAGTTCTAATGACTTTTTCAAGAAGGATCCTAACTTATTAGTTTGTAAAGGCGTTGGTGGATTTAGTAAATAATGAATTTTTTCTTCTTCATTTAAATTATTAAAGTTATTATTTTCAGTACATATGTGTTCAAAAAAGGCATTTCTTAGTGTTTTATTATAATCACAATTTAATAGTTAAATAAATACTAACTGAAATCTCTCAATTTAAATACATGTCATTTTGGGGCCCTTTATATTTATAGCTTGCTGTTCGGTGTGAGCCACGGCTCCGTGTTGAAGGCCGTACTTTGACCTATAATTGTTTACTTTTTATACAATTCAATTCAAAGCTTTATTTATAGTCGGCATGTAACAAATAAACATAAGCTCTTTGAGCTTTTATAACCGACAAATACATACATTTACACAATAATCATACACAATACTAATATTAAAACATAAGAGACATAGAACATACATTTCATGCACATTTAGGCAGAACTAATTTAAATACTATATATTTTATACATGCATGAGCACTAAGCTAAAAGCAACATAAAAAATAAAGCACAGCAATCACAAATTATAAAAAGCTAAGCAAATAAACACAAAAAAGCAGCACTATTATGTTTCAAATCTGTAAAATAAAACATAAAAATAAATACTAAGCACATGCATTGCAATCACAGGCGCTTGGGTGTATGATACAGATATTTTTTGGGGATTTTTTTTTTTTTTTGTTGATTAAAATATTGAATTTTCTATATTTATACTACATATCTATCACTAACTGCGCATGTCTCACCTAGTTTCGAGTGTTTTACCAACTCTTGAGACAACCCCCATTTTTACTATCCACACTAAGAAACAAACAAAAAATCCCCAAAAAATATCTGTATCATATACCCAAGCGCCTGTGATTGCAGTTGCCATTCCATGAGTTTATTAGTCTCTTGAATTGGGTAAAAGATGTTTCAGTTCTAAAGTGGTTTGGCAACTCATTCCATAGTTTGGCAGCAGAATACTGAAGGACATAATGGCTTGGATGGAGAGTTGTCTCATTGGCACTCATACCACATCTTCGTATTTATATATTAACTAACAGACTAAAGCAGAGGAAAATACAGTACATTTTGTTATATTTTATGTTTGAGCCTCTACAAATAAAATTACAAATCCTATCGCAACGAAATGAAAAAACGGGCAGCCTTACCTTAATGGTCCTACATAATGGTCCTGGTCATGTCTATTTATATCAAAAAAGATCAAAATTGCGGCGTGACGTTGCTAGTCCACATGCGATATTGTTTGTAAACAAACGGATCTTTAATTTAAAATCGAGATCGGAAGGGAAGATCGAAATACGGATGATGAAGCTCATTGATATGCCTCGGGTATCGATCGACCTCTGTTATGATCTGTTATCAAATCATAGCGTAGAGTTTATTAACTGTCATCGTTTCAATAAAGGGTTCTTAATTGGAATAACAAATACTTTCTTCTTATAATGGATTTTTCTAAGGCCTTTGATAAAGTAAGTCATAGCCTAATTACACACAAACTGGACTCAATATTGCATAAGAGGGAAAACCAATAGGTGGATCAAAAACTTCCTCGCCGACAGGAAACAAGTCGTAGTTGTAGAAGGGGAAAATCTGATACAATCAACGTCGATTCGGGCGTCCCACAAGGATCCACAAGGATCAGTTCTTGGACCCAGTTTGTTCCTTTTCTACATAAACGACATGCCAGAGGGAATCCGATCAAGGGTAAGACTCTTTGCTGATGATAGACCCATGATACAATCATATATCTCGCAATATCATCGGACACAGACAGCGACCACCTTCAGGAAGATCCGAATAAGCTGGCAATTTGGGAAAATAAATGGAAAATGGCATTTCATCCAGATAAATGTAATGTTCTTATCATAACAAGAAAACGTAAGCCTATTATAAAAGAATATGTACTGCATGGCCACACCCTCGAATCTCTAAATTCTGCAAAGTACCTTGGCTGCACCATCAGCTCCGATTTAAAATGGAATGAACACATCAAAAACATATGTGTCAAGGCAAACAAGACCATAGGCTTCCTCAAACGTAACTTGAACATCAATAACAACACAATAAAAGAAACTGCATACAAATCACTTGTAAGACCGACTCTAGAATATGTACAGTCTGGGATCCTTATCAACAAAACAACAAAAACCGACTGGAAATGGTACAGAGGAGAGCAGCCAGATATGTCACTAACAGATATCATAACACATCATCTGTTAGTGACATGCTTAACCAACTAGAATGGAAAACCCTCGAAGACCGTAGGAGAACATCAAGGCTTACAATGATGTATAAACTTGCCAACGGGATGGTGAAAGTTGACACCAGTAATACTCTCATTCCACCAGATAGGCTATCCAGAAACATCAACACTAATGGATACCAAGTACCATCTTGTAGGACCGAAGTGCGGAAGGAATCTTTTTACCCAAGGACGATACGAGACTGGAATGCCCTACCACATACTGCCACCAATGCAGGTAGTCTTGAATGCTTCAAGACTTACCTACATGAGATGAACTAGATCAACGCCAAGATGTTTTTAAATTCACTGTATATATGATGTATAGCACAATTCAAATCAATTCAATATCTATTTTTTTTTTCTAAATTTTAAATGCGCATCCAAAAGGTGGCAAAATAATCAACGTATTGATGGTGGCCGCGTATTGGTAGAAGTAGAAGTAGAAGTAAACGATTTTTTCAGGCAGCGGCTATTTTTCCACCGGCTCCGACAAAATAGCCTCTTGGGTGCTATTTTACCGGCTCCGGCAAAAGAGCAATTCATATAGGGTTTGCTATTTTGCCGGTCTTAATTAAGATTTTCAATATATTAATTCAGAATAAAAGAAATATAAAATTATAAACTTTAATAAGAAATCTTTTAAAAAAATATGTCTTCTTTAAAAAATTATACATATGTAAGCATTGCATGCATATTAGAATTGATATTCTAATTAAAAATATTCTGGCCATAAGTTTTGAAATCGTATGTTACACTTTAATAAGAAGTCACTCAATTGAATTTTTTTTAAATATAATACATAAGCAAAGCATGCATATTGAAATTGATATTCTAATCAACAAATTAAATAATAAGAATATCCCACAAGTTTTGAAATTAAAAGTAAAATTCAACAACCTCAAAATGCTTTACACGCGTAACAAGACCAGTGTCTTGCTTTTGGTGCATTTTGTAGTCTTGCACAAGAAAGATCATGCTGTCACCGCTGACATGAACTGCCCATAACATTTGTTTCTTTTGCGTCTGCATCTGACGTTTGCAAAACTTGCAGATATATTATGACGTTACATTCAACTTTGATAGAATAAATGCTGTCAATAGATTGTCATGCATCGTCTTTACAATATTTCTGTATTAACTTTACATTCACTAGACTAAGTTTGTCTAGACATGAACTTGAAACCATTGCATGGCGGGTTTCTACGCGTCCCATCTCTACCATCACACGGGCATCAACCGCTTCCATGCAGTCTGCAATTCATTTTCCCACAAACCATTCTAAGATTATCAAGTCAGTCTCTTTAGACGCTTTTTTTATCAAAAGGAACGCACTTTGTCTTTCGTACCCTATTACAGTTTTTGTAATTCCCTTTCGTCTCCCGCGCTTTTTAATTGTAGGTGGTAAAACCATATCAATATATCATTTTCGAGTTAATTGTCATCTCTCTCTTTCGATTTCACCACGTTCACTACTTTGACTATCGGTTACGCTTACCATTTGTTCATTCAGATCTGCTACTTTGCATTGTGCTTCCATTTAATCGGATGTGTCCACTTCCAGAACTTCAACCACTTAGCAACGCTTTCCATCATTCCAATGTTCCTGTTTATTTTGTAAAGTGGATGTTTTGTCTTAATAATCGTTTCCTGATGCTTCCGAAACCAAAATTGCAATCTGCTGGGTAAGAAGCTGTCTTTGTCTGTATTTTTCGCTTTGTGACACATTTACAGTTGCGTTTCAGAGTGCTGCTAAGATCGTGATTTCAATTCTTCGATGAGAAGTGAACTTAAAAGTCTTATGTGATCTTTTAAATGTGTTTAATTTACGGAGCCGGCAAAATAGCACTAAGGAGGCTTTATAGCCTGAGCCGGTAAAATAGCATCTAGCATGCCTTTTTCTTAATTCAACAATAAAGAATAAATTTCTTAACACCTTCTTCGGGAATCGGGATTATAGCTATAAAATATAAGAACTTGATATAAAACTAAAAACTAAGTCTATTTGTCAGTAAAATACGGATATTTTTTTACAAAATAAATTTATTGCTTCAGATGCTATTTCTAAATCTTGAAGAATCTTCTCCCCAAGTTTCATAACATTTCATAAATGTTTGCCAGAATTATTAATGACATTTGTGATACTGTACAGGGGCGGATCCAGCCATTTCTAAAAGGGGGGCTCCCAACCCAGGAAAAAAAAGTCCTATGCATTATATATCAGCAGTCTGACATTGCTTTCTTGAACGAAAAAAAAAAAATAATTGACTCGAATGTCTGCTATCAAAATTGAATAAAAGATTTTTTTACCTACATCTCAAGTTACCTCCATTTCATTTTTTGTTTGTTATATATATGTACCATGATAAACATTTGCAAAATTCAAAATGTTTTTTTTATAATTCTATTCTCTTTCATCTTTAATCAGTAGGCTATTTTCCCAAGGAAAATGCCTCAGGGGATTGTACACTTCCTTAGTGTAGTTATTTAGAGTTCACTTTCATAATTAATCTACAATGAAAAGTCATTGAATTTCATGTAAAGCATTTTATAGTGCTTAGAATATAGCAAAGTGCTCTCGACCAATGAAATTGTAGGATTTGATGTCTCTTAATTGTGAAGAATGAATGTAAATCATGTTCTTAGTAAAGGATTATCCTATTGTTTGGGTCTATTTACAGTTCAAAACAAAGAGTTTCTATAAATTAGTAACAACTGCCCCGAAGCACATTTATCAGATTGAAAGGATTTATCACACAGTGATTGTTGAATTGTGAAACAAACAAAAAAATCAAAATAAGTTGAAGTTTACTGGTGCAGTAAAATTGGTAGCTTTAATTAATTATGAAAATATTAATAACTTCAAATTACTAAAAAATTAAACAATATCAAAGCAATACAAAAAAAAAGTTTTAAAATCAAAAATAACCAAAATCTTTAGCTTTCCAAAACTCTGATTACTGGACCAGCGGTTGGGAAAAAAGAGTTATTTCCAATGTTCCACAAAAATAAAATAAAACAGGAATTTAATTTTTGAATATATTTAAATCTTTTAAAATCATTTTATTTGAACATTCCCCTGACAAAATGAAATAGTATTTGATTTAAAAAGCCTAACCAAAATATTGGCTGTGAAATAAAATTAGTTGTAACTCAAATGTATTTATTGATTTAAACTGTAAATAAAAAAAGGATAATTCCTCACTAAAATATTACATGATTTACATTCATACTCACAATCAGGAAACATAAACAATTCCTACCTTTTTCTTTGTATTGTTGTGTCACCTAATGTCTAAAATGCATTTTTATTTAATACTCCCAAATTATAAGAAAGTCCTGACATCACTAAAACTAATCCATAAATGAAATGCCTAAAAAGGAAGTCATGCATAAATTATAAACATTGCACTGACAATGAAACTAATTCTGAGTAAAACCAATCAAGAGATCATTTGAGCCTTGAGCACTTTACAATATTCTAAGTTTGTAAGAGAATGATAATCCCTTACTTCATGATAAGTACTCGCTAACGCTCGTACTTAATCATGAAGAAAGGGATTATCATTCTCTTACATATACATGGAAAGCCGTGTACTATGAAAATTAGAAGGGAAGAAACTGACTTTTCATTGGACGAGAAGGGGTGAGTATGTTTTAACGGAGAAATAGACTTAATCACGCCGGAGCACTGAACGTTGACCAATGAACCATGGCATAAGAATCGGCCAGGTGAACCCTGCAAGACTGACATGTACACCTCACAACCATACATTTGTAACTTAAACCAATATAGCTGACCTATTGTCTATTGTATCTGAGAAGCGAACTCCATCAAGAAAACTTATTAACATTGACCAATGAACCATGAATATAAGGTTTATGTAATTTTTTCTGATCTGCAAGATAGACGATTACAAATTGGGCATGCGCTAATACAGATGGACGTGTAAAAGATCTCTCTTGTCAAATGGGAAAATACGATGGATAACTAAAATATAA